AAAAAAATTAAAATTAACATAATAATTTTAGGTATGTAAAAAGAAACCTGGACAAGTTGAAGTCGATGGCAAACAAGCAATTTCTAAATTAGAAAACTGCTTTTTTCGTTTTCTAGCAATATTACTATCACGCAACTTTTTTTGTTTTTCTTCAACAGACATTTTAGCATATCGTTGCCTTTGATATTCTTTTTTCCTTTGACCATCCATGTCAAATATATCTATGAAATTTTCAGCAATATATTAATAGAATAAATGATACCAAAATTTTTGAAGAAAAGAAATACTTAAATGAACAATACTCATAAACATTCAACAATGATAAGACAAAATAAATTATAATTTACTGAACACAAAAATAAGTGAAATGATAGTTAACATTGCAAATGAAAAAGATAATCTATATTAAAATAAATTTTTTTTGTAAGATCTAAGCAATTAGTAAATGATAATAAATTCATTACTACTTTTCATGGAATATTATTATACATAATTATATTTTTTTAATAAATTTTAATATATGAGTATAAGAAAAACTCACAAACATTAAATATTGTTCACCTTATTCACAAAGAGAAGTATACAATCTGCATCAACAATTAATAAATTAAAAAGAAATAAATAAATTGTTATCAGTATGAATTAAATAAAGAAATAAAAAAATTTATTATGATATTTTAACATGACGGCATGCGTATAAGTTATAACAAAAAAATTAAGTTTAAAAAATTTGGACAAAAGAATTTACTAATTTTATAACTTCAATGTAATTATGGGTAAACTATCAAAAATATGAATTATATAAAGCTATATGGATAACTGACAAATACAAAAAAATATATTTAGAATAATGCATTAAAGATCAATATATATTTCCTACATAATAAGACTTTTCATGCAAACTGATAACAACTATTTAGAAAATTTATCTAATAAGTAAAATTATAAAATTAGAAGATGGACTCACAGACGTTTATAGAGTTTGTCTTCTCCAAACACAAAAGTATGCAATCTGTAACAACAAATAATGAATTGGTAAGAAATTAAACAAATTTAAGCCTTCATTAAAAAAATAAAATTAATTTATATTATAGGAGGCATAATGCAACATAAGGAGAGAATATTATAATAATATATGGGTGATTTAATTTATTTTTATTTTTAAATTGATAAATACACAGTTTGTAGGTAATAAACTAACTCTAAGTAGAAACAAAAATCATGTGCATTTAGTTAAGAAGGAATCCTTAAAAAATCCTATTCAATAATCTTATTGAATCTAATCAATTTGAGATGTTAATATAAAAGATTTTTGTTAGTTACAGTGCATGAGTAAGATAGACATAAATTAACCAACTCTAAGACAATGAAGCAAAAAAAATGTACTTATAGCTACGATGTCGATAGGCATCTTTATATTGGAGGACAATTATGAAGGAGTTAAACTTGTAGGTAATTTAATAAATGATATTTTTTTAGTTCAATTAATGTATTTAATATATTTAATTTCATTTCAACTGATATTATATTTTTTATCATCAATATGAGAAAAAGCATGATTATTCTCAATTCATCTAATGTCAAAAGGTTTACATAAATGTTGTTAGTCATTAAATTTTTTTTAGCAATATTGTTGATGCCTTTAAGAACCTTTCAAAGTTTTTTATTTTTATGAAATACTTTCTCTGTTTGTTGATCTAAATATTTGCTTAGCTTTTATCAATCATTGTAATGCATGTGCATCTTAGTTATAATAATGTAACTACTTATGAAAAACATGTTATGTGAAAATCAATTGTGACAATAACTCAAATGTGATTTGTAGAGGATGAATGATTGAATTAATCTGATAAATGTTTGTGATGTTTATAGTGTTGCATGTGACCTTGTTAATGTTTTTTTCTTGTATTAGAACCTACATGGAAGTTGCTTATGTTGTAAAATAATAAACAAAAATTTAACGTATTAATCGCAGCTAAATAAATAAAGAAGGTTAAGACTAAATTAAATTGAACTTATTCATCATTTCCAATTCGGTTATGTTTAGTTTGAAGGAATTGAAAGAGGAACATAAAAGAAAAATGCTAGTAGTAAATGAATTGAAGTATGATGATTTTAATTTATGTATATAATGATTTGATTGAGCAGTAATTAAATCGTAACAACCATGAGATTTTCAGGATTAAACAATATCAACATTATGTTTTAAGGTAGAGCCGGGCTATATCTCTTATAGTAAATTACATTATCTTATTATCTTGTTGAATAGATAATACAAAAGTATCCATTGTTGTGGTATTAATGAAGTTTTCTATAGGTTTGTTAGTTTTTTTTACGTTAAAGACGCATAAGATTGTTTTCACCATAATAAATATGTAAGAGTCATATCCTAATATATTTTATTTATTTAATTTCAGTTTAATTGTTATGATAGATTGTGTAACGTCAAGTATGATCCACAATGTCTTTTCTAACATGTGAATAATTCAAAGTAATAATATAACGTTATGAAATTATTGCCTAAGGATAATTGAAATAAGAACTACTAAATGCAAAACAACAATATAAACATTTTGATGGTGGCTTTCATGACTTACGGTGTTAACTTCCACAATGTCATATATTTGATAATTATATATATTTCATGTTTCACAAAACAAACAAATAATTTAATTTATTTATACAAAAAAATTATACCAAGTGCCTTACTACCTTATGAGGTAAAGAGATAGAATGATTTTAAACATGCTTCTTCTTACAATAAGAGTCACAGAAGAACAAATAAATTTTTGTAGATTTCATAAGAAACTATTGGACAAGTTAAAAATTTTGCATACATGCATGAGAGAAAGTTAGAGATGGATATACATGATGATGGTTTGATTGCCCTTCCCGGTGAGGATAAATGAAAATTTTTTTCAAGTTTACACTTTAGTTAGATATGAGGCAATGGAGGAGATGTTAGAAAGTTAAATTAATAATTTAAACTTAAAGAACATTATAAGCATACCTATAAATATATTTATGTGCATATATGATTCAACAAGAAAACATACAAATATGAAGCAAGTAATGCGTGTTTTGAACAACAATGTTTGGAAACATGAAATATGAGTAGATTGAAGAAACATAGTAAACATATTCAAATAATCCCAACTTATCATTAAAATCATAATTTATAAAAAACTGGAATATCAACTTTGAGAACTTTCCTCAACTTCCCATTATGATGGGCACCATTGAGCCTATACTCGGTAGTAATCAAACCACCCATAGATCAAACAATAAAAATTAGAAACTGTAAATAGTTTAGGGTTTAGGGTTTAGGGTTCAAACCTGGAACAAAAATAATATGATTCCGAATCTGATAGAAAAATGAATTATTTGTAGGCTAATTATTAAATAAGAAAGCATTGGGGAGTAATATCTAACATGTTTGAGTCAAGAATCACCAAAAACCATACTGTTCCACTCTCAAATGGGAAGCCATGCATTAAATATGTCATATTTTATGTTTTAATTTTACATTAGGAATTAAACTTTCTCAAAATGTACAGGAAACTTTGTAGGATTTTTTATCACTAATGAAGTCTATGGACATCTTTGAATACATATTTATTGAAAATATAATATTTCTATTTTAGTACGAATAAACAAATTGATGGATTCTAAGAATTATATTTTCTTAATTGCATTGTATTTGCTTATAAGATATTGATAGCTATTTGAAAATCTTTGTTATAATTGTGAACATGTTGCATTCTGAACATATTATATCTTGATACAATGCATATTCAACTCCACAACATGATTTTATATATGATAATCATTGTTTTTTATTATATTTTTATTTTTATTGAAAATATAAAATGCTATAATCAAACAAGTAAAAATAACACCTGAGTTATAAATATAAACTCAATCAAAGATCATCCAAACATAAATCAACAGGTTTTCAACAGTGATTTTCACCATGCTGTTTAAACAAACATCACGATATAAAATGAAGACTTAGTTTCTTAGTTTATTGGGAACAAGCAATGTTTATTCTTCTTATTATCATAATGTTCATTAATTCTTTGGCCTTCCCATTTAAATTCCCAAATATAATGTTGTAAATCTCAACTTAGATTTAGACCTAACATAACGCCTCCTTAAAAGGGTAAATGTTACTTTGTCCACTATTCATGTATAGCCTGCTAAATGAGGAAAATCTTATAGAAGGGGCTGATCCGTTGATTACACTAAAAAAGGACAACATAAATTGGATCTGTTTCAGAAACTACTGGATTGACAGCGACCTCTTGAAAATATGAGAATAAAATTGCTTGATTTAAGTGCATGCAGAAGGGTATAAACTTATAATGCTAATCGGGAGTTTTTCTTGAACAGATCCACAGGTGAAGCAGTCAAAGATTCATTTCAGGCATAGATTTATATAAAATTAGGTATCTTCCTCAGCCCTTAAGACCTAACAATAACCCCAAACTACATTCAAAAAGATCAAAGTACTTGAATTTCTCAATTTGGCATCATATAATTTGCTCTTCCCAATAAGTTCCAGCCAATGAAACGCGTCGATAAAGCTCGTAACTTAAAAACTTTATATATAAACATGAATAACGGAATGAGAGCAATATAACAGTGAAATAAATACTATACATTTCATTTCTTCTTAAGCTTCATTAGAATCATATCATAATTTAAAAAATAATAGGAGACCCAAATTTTAGCAATATCCTCCACCTACCATCATGATGGGCACCATTAAGCCAATGGTCGGTAGTAATCAAACCATCTATAGATAAACCAAAAAGAATCTAAAAAAATATATAATACATAACAAAATTTCTTATAGGATCAACCAAAAAAATGGAATCAAAATAATATGATTTTGAATTCGATTAAGAATGAGTTATTTTAAGGCAAATTATTGAATAAGAAAGCTTTGGGGAGTAATATCAAACACAAGAAAGTCCTCAAAATCGAATACAAATAGATAATTTAAAGAATACAACAGAAGAAAATAAATTAAATTACATCGAGCACCAATAACATAAAAAACTAATACAAATAAAATAAAATAAAATAAATTTTATAGATAATTTAATGAAAATAAATAAAGTATTTATAGAAGATCTTTCATCTGAGATAATAGATAATGGTTTCGTGAACTTACATGAAATCAGATGAAATGTTCGAGCGAAGTGATGGTTTGATGGGTTCTGCAAAAGATATATGTATGAGCTGCGCACTGTGAGAGAAATACAACAGTGAAAAAAACAATATACATTTCCTTTATTTTTATGCTTCAGTCAAATGTTTAAAAGAAATATAAAAATGATCATAATAAGAGATAAAGTTGAGGAAAACCAATTCATAGACACTTTAAGTTGTTTGAATATCTATATAAAATATAAAATTGACAAAGTCAAATTCTTAAGTTAACATCTGTTATGGAGTCAATTTTAATTTTATTTTAATAGGGAAAGATATATATTATTTTTTATAGGCTGGAATGGACCGGTTTAGAAGAACCTAAAGATGAGGAGGAATTTTCCGTAAGCTCGAGCGGGAAACGCAAATTGAAGCTGATTATTCTTCTAAACGGATGTCCATAGGTTGATTCTAGTTCTTGAAGGGAGGAAGTTCTTAATGTTTGATCAACGAAAAGGTCGATGAGGTAAAAACGGCTGGTCAAATGTGGCGAAGTTTGTCAAGATGAGAGGTCGATAAAAAAAAAAAGTGAATACAAAAGATAAGTTTGATATATCTGGAGAAGACGATTGACTTGGCAATGTGTAGTGTTTCTCCAGGGACAAAACGAAATGAAGAAGAATAAATCAGGTACGTACAACAAGAGAATGCGGACATAGAAATGCAAAAGAGATGACTAAATTGGAAATGATTAAAAAATTCAAGTAATTGTTCCACAAATTTAAATCAGTCTTTTACAAGAATTTTCTATATTCCCTTTAAGAAAAATTACCTCAATAAAAGATTAATTTTATTGAAATTTATCCCAAACAAAACCTCAAAAAAATGATTGGAAACTTATTTATAATAAAGTAATAACACATTCGTATGCACGTGCATCAATCATAATTTTGAAATGTATGTGTAGATGCGTATTTGTAAGTAAAATAACGCAAAGTAATATAAAAACTTTAACAAAATATGTCCAAACCAAAACCTCAATATATTTTTGTTTTCGTTTATCACCGATCCAATTGCATATTTGACAAAATGCATATAATAAATTTTCCATAATATCAACGAGAACCTAAATCAATTTTTATATCGTTAATCAACTATCCATTAGCCTATCTGCCAAAAAACATTTAATAAATTTTTCATAGTTTAAAGATTCCTCATTTACTGAAAAAAAAATAAATGTTTTGACCCAGAATAAAAAAAATCTTAAGAAATTTATTTTTCTGCTCTCGCAAAAAAATTTCAATGTACCTCTCGTACATAGGTTTGCTTACCCACGTTTATAAATTTGCTCATTTAAATATGATTACTTTGAAACTTTAGAAGAAGAAAATGGCTTAGGGCAGAAACTAATGTTCACCTGTCGTATACGAAATATACGAGATGCATTTTGACAAAAGCGGGAATGCATTCCATTCTCTTGGCAGCCGAAAGAAAATTTCCTTCGCATAGAATTCGGCGGATATCGGAGAGGATTTAAGATTCGACGGTAAATGCCAAACCCAAAAGCAAACGACAATGACGAATAATAAGAGGTATGTAAAAGAGAAGTAGGTGGGAATCGGAGAAAAAATACAGTGCAATAGGCGATTTGAAACCCTAAGAATTAAAAAAGAGGCGAAGTCGTGGAGCTATAAGGAACTTGTGTATTTATGAGTGCGATGAGAGGGAGAAGCGAGGGATAAATTTTGCTTCAGCGAGGAAAGATGAGCAAAAATGAAATGAAAATAAAAATTTAACAAATTAAAATGAAATGTGAAGAAATTAAAAAGATGCAGCGAGAGGCTTTGAGCAACATTTGTATAGCTGCGTTTGATTAGAGGGAGAATCGCGAGATACAAAAGGATTCGGCGAGCGAAACCCGAACGAAATCGAGTTAAGAGAAAAAAAATAATTCGACAACAACTATTTTAAGAAATTAAAAAGAGGCGTGAAGAAAAAAATAAGTAAGAAGTTTACCTTTTGAAACGGGTATTTTTGTGACTTCGATGAGCAGGTAGGAAGCGACAATGGGGGAGAAGCGTGAGATACAGCAGGCTTCGGAGTCGAGAGAGGATATATGAAAGCGTCATTTCGTGTAGGGATGTTTTTTGATAAGAATGAAGAGTGTAGGGATGCGAAGAGAAATTAGGAGGGATGTCTTGAAACAGAAAACTTTGCTTAGGATAAAGATTTAATAAAATCAACGACTAATATAAAGCTTTAAATTTTTAATGGCCAGGATGACGTATGGGAAGATGCACAAGCTGCAATTTAATAGTAGTATAGATAATATATATATATATATATATATATATATATATATATATTTTCTAGAAAATAGA